TTTAAAAAATTATACACACACACACACACACACAAAATAGCTGGAAGTGGAGCTGTAGCTCAAATGGCAGAGTGCTAGCATTGAGCAAAGAAGCTCAAGGACAGTGCCTAAGCCTTGAGTTCAAGCTCCAGGACCTGCACAACACACACAGGCACAGACAGACAGACAGACAGACAGACAGACAGACAGACAGACAGACACACACACACACACACACACACACACACACACACACACACACACACAGCCCAGCCTCTGGATCCCACCTTCTACCCCCAGCTGATGGCTCTTCAAAGAATCAGATCTCCAGAACCTCAAGTCCCCTAAGAATCCAGGCCTCAACTCCCCCTAAGAATCAAAGCATCTACAGGTATTTGGGTCTACTGTGTGTCCCGCTGTGCCAGGCCCTGGGCAGGATGCTGATAAGTGAAATTCACAGACCCTGACCTTGGGGAAATTAGGGTCTATTTAAGGAATAAAATTGAAGCTGATCTATAAATCTACAGGAAATACAAGATCATCTAAATTGGACTTAATCCTTTGGAATGAAAACGCTGTGGGTACCCTTTAGTCTCGCTGAGCAAGTCAGGCCCTTGGGGTGTGGAGACTACAGCAGGCATCTGTGCTGGTTTCCCTGACATCAGAAAGATTGAGCTGGGGTCATGTGAGGTGTAGAGGGAGAAAGTGCACAGAAAAGCAGGGGCTAGGTACAGTGATAGGGAGGAGGGAAGCGAGAGGTGGGATCAGGACCTTGTGGTGAACAAGGTTAAGTGGGCAGGAGCCAAATACAGCAGGTAGAGAAGAGAGGAAAAGGCCAGGGTGTACCTTGAGAGGCCTTGCTGTGGTGGGGGAAGAGGAAAAACAGGGTCTCACTTTCCAATTCCTATCATCGTGACCATCAGAGGAACTGGAAGATAGAGAAACCGCAAATTATTTCTTTCCACAGGAGTGCCGCTTCCAGAGACTGCTTCCTCCAGTAGTTCATTCCACTTCCTCTGCTGCCACACCCACAAGTCTTCTGGCTCTTCTGATTGGAGGCCAACGTCTCACCTGGTTGGGCCATCGAATGCAGCAATGAATGAAAGAGCCCTGGAATTCTCAAGTGTGTGTGTGTGTGTGTGTGTGTGTGTGTGTGTGTGTGTGTGTGTCAAGGAGGAGGGGGGATTCAAACCTAGTGTTCTCTGTTCTCTAACCAGGCATGTCATGATCAAGATCTATTCCTGAGCATCTCCAGCTTTCTTAGCTTTCTAGGATTCCCAGAATCCCTATCAGCGCAGAGGCAAGATCTGGGATGTGGGGCCGAGTTTGAATGCAGAGTATCTTCAACAAGCCCAGTGTTTTTCTAGTTTCTCTAAGGTATTGTTCTCTACCCTGAGCTATATTGTGTGCTCTGGGCTTTTAAAATGATATCCTAAGCCAGGGGCTGTTGGTGGCTGAGATGTAAGGATTATAGTTCAAAGCCAACCCATCTGAGAAAGTCAGTGAGATTCTTTCTCTCCAATAAACCAGAAAAAAAAAAAAAAGAAAGCCAGAAGTAGAGTTGTGGCTCAAGTGGTAGAGAGCTAGCTTTGAGCTAAAAAGCTCAGGGACAGCACCTGGGCCTGAGTTCAAGGCCCAGGACTGGCACAAAAATAAATAAACAAACAGATTTATAATGCTATCCTAGATTGCTCACCTTCATGTGATGCTAATGCTTAAGGGAGACCACTGGTTTTAACTCATGGCCCAGCATACAGAACAACAGCCTGACCCTGTCTCTCTACCATGCTCATAACTGTATGCATGGGCACACATGCACTTGACAGTCAAAGAGACTGAAGCCTAGAACAGGAGACCTTGTGTCCAAGGTCATTCAGCAAGTGCACAAACCAAAATCTCCCTCCAGTGTGCCCCCTACCCCAAACTGTCTCATTTACAGAGGTCTCATGGATTTCACATTTGATTTTGGCAAGTGAAATTGGAAATGGGTAATAGGGTTTTATTAACTAGGATCTGATGCTGTATTTGTTTTTGTACCAGTACTGAGGCTTGAACTCAGGGCCTGGACACTGTTCTTTAGCTTTTTCACTCAGGCTAGAGCTTTGCCATTTGAGCCACAGTTCCACTTCCAGTTTTTTGGTGGTTAATTGGAGATAAGAGCCTCACAGATTTTCCTTCTTAGGCTGGCTTCGAATCACTAGCCTCAAATCTCAGCCTCCTGAGCATTTGAGATTACAGGTGTGAGCCACCTACAACAGGCTGGAATTCTAGGGCTTTAAAGACAATACTACTATCTCTTCTGCTTGAATTCATCTTCCCTCCTGATGCTAATGACTTAAAGCTGCCTTTCAATTGTACATGGCCCTTGATCATTGTGTCTCCCTAAACTTTATTTCCAGCACTTTGGAACCTGACACAAGTGGCATCTAGTACTTTGGCAGAGGCAAGCAAGTTAAAATGAGGTTCATTAGGGGATCGTTCACATCCAATGTGGCCAGGGCTTTTACAGGAGGGATCACTGGGACAGAGATGCACAGAAGATGATACCCTTAGCCAGGGGCTGGTGGTGGCTCATGCCTGTAATCTTAGCTACTCAGGAGGCTGAGATATAAGGATGTGATAGATACAAACCAAGGCCAGAAGCCTGGGACAGCTCCTCTCTCACAGTCTCAAATGGAGATTCTTCTGCCTTCCAGGACAAGAAACAATACATTTCTGTTGGTTACACAGGCTGCTCTAGGACACGTAACCATCTCGAAAGCTTGTGTACTGGTAAAGGTGGTCCGCCCCAGGCACCTGTGGCTCATACCTGTAATCCTAGCTATTCAGGAGGCTGAGATCTGAGGATCATGATTCAAAGCCAGCCCAGGCAAAAAAAATCTATGAGACTCATCTCCAATCAACTGCCAAAAAACCAGAAGTAAAGGTATGACTGAGGTAGTAGAGAGCCAGCCTGGAGCAAAAAAAGCCAACTGAGAGAGTGAAATCCTGAAGCCCTGAGTTCAAGCCCCAGTACCAGCAAAAAAAAAGAATAAAAATAAAATAAAAAGACTCGGGCTAGGAATGTGGCTTAGTGGTAGAGTGCTTGTCTAACATGCAGGAAGCCCTGGGTTCCATTCCTCAGTACCATATAAACAGAAAAAGCCAGAAGCAGAGCTGTGGCTCAAGTGGTAGATTGTTAGCCTTGAGCTAAAGAGGCTCAGGGACAGTGCCCAGGTCCTGAGTTCAAGCCTGGGGACTGGCCAAAAAATTAAAATAAAAATAAAAGGACAGCCTGGTCAGTCCCTGTAGTGGTAAAGTGAGGGTCCCTGGAGCTGGACTCTGGCCTCATGTTATAAATGGGGAAACTGAGTCCCAGTAAGGCTCAAGTCATTTTGGTGAGTCAGGTGAGGAAGCAGGTAGAATTAAAAAGCAAATGAGCTTCCCTGTGGGTTTCCTCTTGAGATGGACAGGCTGCTGACCTGGGTCATGGGAAGGAGGGGAAAGAGACCCAGGCCTCTGGTGCCTGAAATCCTGCACTGCTACGGGCAGCCCTCCTTCTGCCCCTCTGCAGGTTCCCCGGGCTCCCCCCTTTTCCCCCCCAGGGCTGACATCATCTGGCTGGAAATTCCTCTGCCTCCTCATCAAGGCTTGGAGAACAAAAGCTCCCTCCTCAGGAAAGGAAAAAAAAAAAAAAAAACTTCCTGCTCAGCCCCTAACAAGAGATTCTCTGGTTTCAACCACACAGATGGTGAGGTCATGGATTGGTGGCAGCCAGGGCTCCCAGGGGTACCACAATGCAGCCAGAGGAAAACCGGAGCTCTTTCCCTTCTCTCTGGGCTGCCAGGAGGCCCCCCTGTAAACCTGGGAAAGGCAAGGCCTTCTCAAAACCCTTTCCTTCCTGCTTCAGTCATACCCTCTTACTAGTTGGGAAACTGAGTCCAGACAATCAAAGTCAGTGCCTCAATAATACATTAGTAAGTGTGGAAGTTAAAGACACTCAGTTCAAGTCCCAATACCAGCATACACACACACACACACACACACACACACACACCACACACACACACACACACACACACACACACACACACACGAGTTGTAAGTTAATGAGAGTCAGGGTGGGACTACCTGAACCCAGTCCTTGATCCTCTTCCTCCAGTTCTCATAAGAACCTGAGCTCCTGGTTCTTTTGTTGCTAAGTTGTCAACAAAGACCTGTGTGACAAGGAAATAGGAAACTGCAAAAACTCCCTTTTCCAGTCTCGCATCCAACCCCCATCTCATTCATTCATTCCTTCGTTGACTCATTCATTCATTCTGCACATCAGGCACCAAAACATGTGGGAGACACCTAGCCTGAGCACCTTCTATGCTCAACTAACTTGTATAAATCAACTCAGCAAGGTGACTGTGAAAATATACATGAGTTTCTGGATGCACAGAAGACACTATTATTAATTGGGCTGGGCCCTCTTCAATCCAGCACCAGCTGTCCACATGGCACCACAGTACAGGACTTCATTTATGTTTGTGGAGCCTACATTTTTTGTGGGGGATTGGAGGAGAAAGCTGTGGACCCATCCTGCATCCATGTGGGTGAATCCCTGAGGCCATATTGTACTGTATGGTCCTACCACCTGGTCACAGACGATTGGATGGTAAGTGGACATGTGACCCAGGATGAGCCAATCAGATTCCCTTTCCTGATAAGTCCTGTAACCATCATCAGCATCAGGGCTGGAGAGAATCAGAGTCAGGGAGAGACAGAAAAAAAGCACTTGTAGGTCCAGCACCAGTGGCTCCTACCTGTAATCCTAGCTATTCAGGAGGCTGGATGCTGAGGACGGCGGTTCAAAGCTAGCCTGGAGAAGCAAAGTCCATGAGACTCCTGTCTCTAATTAATCATCAAAAAAGCCTGAAGTGGAGCTTTGGCTCAAGTGCTAGAGTGCCGGGCTTGAATGAAAAAACTAAGGGACAGCAGTGTCCAGTCTCTCAGATCAAGCTCCACTAATGACACAAAATAAAAACAATAAGAGCTGGCCACGAGGTTCTCGTGAGATTCGCCTCGACACCAAGCGCCTGTGTCTGGCAGCACCGGTGTGAGACAAAGATACAGTCCTTCCCCAGCCACCCGGATAATCAAGAGTTTTGGCCGGACCCTTTGAGCACACAACGAGATAGAATGAGGAGCCAAGCGAAAAGCACAGACTATGGCGTTAAAAGGGATTAATAAGGAACTTGGTGATTTGGCCCGTGATCCTCCAGCACAGTGCTCTGCAGGTCCAGTTGGGGATGACTTGTTTCACTGGCAAGCCACAATGATGGGACCTAATGACAGCCCATCTCAAGGCGGTGTATTCTTTTTGACAATTCATTTTCCTACAGACTACCCCTTCAAACCACCCAAGGTTGCATTTACAACAAGAATTTACCATCCAAATATGAACAGTAATGGCAGCATTTGTCTTGATATTCTAAGGTCACAGTGGTCTCCTGCTTTAACTATTTCTAAAGTTCTTTTATCCATTTGTCCACTGCTAGGTAATCCGAACCCAGATGACCCCCTAGTGCCAGAGATTGCACGGATCTATAAAACAGACAGAGATAAGCACAACAGAATATCTCGGGAATGGACTCAGAAGTATGCCATGTGATGCTACCTTAAAGTCAGAATAACCTGCATTATAGCTGGAATAAACTTTAAATTACTGTTCCTTTTTTGATTTCTTATCCGGCTGCTCCCCTATCAGACCTCATCTTTTTTTTTTTAATTTTATTTTTTGTTTACCTCCCTCCATTCATTCACATGCTCATCTGAGAAGACTTTTTTTTTTTTTTTTTTGGTAGTGGGGCTTGAGCTCTGGGCCTGAGCGCTTTCCCTCAGCTCTTCAGCTCAAGGCGATCACTCTACCACTTGAGCTACAACGCCACTTCCGGTTTTCTGGTGGTTTACTGGAGATAAGAGTTTCACAGACTTTCTTGCCTGGGCTGGCTTTGAGCTGTGATCCTCAGATCTCAGCCTCCTGAGTAGCTAGGTTTACAGGCGTGAGCCACCACCGCCTGGCACATCATCTGAGAAGACTTAAGTTCTTCCAGCTTTCGACAATAACTGCTTTTAGAAACTGTAAAGTCGTTACAAAAGAACAGTTGCCCAAGATTCAGAAATGTTTTTTTAAAAGGGAGCATGTGTATTATGTGGCCAATATCTTCACTCTTAACTCGGTTATGAGACTAAACCATTCCTCACTGCTCTAACATGCTGAAGAAGCCATCTGAGAGGGAGGGACATGGATGCTCAGTTGTCACATCAAAGGAAACGACATTCTTGCAGCATCCATTCTTGTTTAAGCCTTCCACTGTTAGAGATTTGAGGTTACATGATATACTTTATGCTCCTAACTGATGTGGCTGGAGCATTGGCATTGAATTTATAGCATCAGCAGAACAGAAAATGTGATGTATTTTATGCATGTCAATAAAGGAATGACCTGTTCTTGTTCTACAAAAAATAAAATAAAATAAAAATAAATAAAAAATAACAAAATGTAAATTAAAAAATAAAGTACACATGGGCTGAATGGTTGGTGCCATCTTCATTAGAACTCTAGGTAAGGCCACACTTGGGACCTACCAGAGTCCCCTACATTCTTGTTTTGCCTAGTCTGAAGAGGGATCAGTATCTGTCACTTGCATCCAAAGAGATCTGTGGAGATCAGTGAGTTCTATGATAGCGAAAACTAGATCTGTCCACCAGTGCGTCCCAGGGCCTGACACCAAAAAAGGACTGAGAAAGTCTTCGTTGAATTGATTAGATCTGGAAGTTCTGAGAAGCTAACTGATTGGGACACAAGTCACAGAGTAGCAGCCAGAATTTGCACTGATCTACCAACTTCAGATCTGTGCTGGATCTACTAATAAATAGATCTACTATTCCTTACTGACTATGACAAGTTATTATTAGTCTTATATTAATGCACAGGGCCTGAGGATGTAGTTCAGTGGAAGAATGTTTGCTGAGTATGTTTAAGGCCCTACGTTGGATCTCCTAGAACTGAAAAAACAACAACAAAAAGTTGAAAATTACAAATGGTTAGGGCTGGAGTAGACCCCAAAAATGAGCAAGTTTCACTTGGTTGTTTTAGGAGAAACTGAGACTTGGAAGGCAAGTTAGTAGAGGCCTTTTAGTCCCCTACAACCACTTACCCTAAGCTGAAGAAGGTATTGTGCATGTGTGACATGGCTAGGCTGATTGGCCAGGCTGATTGGTGGATTGCCAAAATACTTTCAAAGCAGTTGATGGATGACCCAGTACCCCATCTCTCCTATCTATCACCCACAAGCAAGAGGGCCACACTTAGTCCCCAGTCCAGTGCTAGGCACATTCTGATGATTCAGTACCTATGCTGATTTCCCTGTTAAGTACTGTAAATCTCAGCCCTGCATTTACCCAATAGGGTTGGAGGAGAGCTGGCTACTTCGTCCCTCCATTAGAGAGATCCTCCCTTCTGTCTCCCAAGGTAGCTGAAAATCCCCGATTCAGAGATACCACGTATCCATTCCTTCTTTAGTTCTTGAGTGCCTCTCATGGACCAGAGTGGGTTCTTACAACCTAAAATACAAATGCACCTAGGAAGGGAAAGATCTGCAGTCAATATGGCACAACAAGCCAGGCTCTGGTGGCTTATGCCTGTCATCCTACCTACTCAGGAGGCTGAGATCTGAGGATCGCAGCTCAAAACCAGCCTGGGCAGAAAAGTCCAGGAGACTCTTATCTCCAATTAACCACCAGAAAACCAGAAGTGGAGTTGTGGTTCAAAGTGGTAGAACATTAGTCTTGAGCAAAAGATCTTAGAGATAGTGCCCAGGCGCTGAATTCAAGCCTCATAACCAACAATAACAGCAACAAAATCATATGGTACTTCTGATATGGAGGTGATTTAGTAGCAGGCTGGAATTACCCACTGGGATGGCTAAGCTACACCAAAGATCAGCAGGAAAAAAAAAAAAAAAGCAAGAGAAAAAAAATACAAAAATAAGGGCTTTATTTTTAGCAATACCTACCAATTTTCTGATGCATCCAACCCCAACTTTCAAGCTGGGCACTGGTGACCCATGCTTGTAATTCTAGCTACTCAAAAGGCTGAGGTCTGAGGATCAGGATTCAAAGTCAACCCAGGCAGATGAGCAAAAAGCCTGAACTGGAGGGGTAGCTCAAGTGGTACTGCACTAGCCTTGAATGAAAAACTCAGGGATAGCACCCAGGCTCCAGGGCTGGCACACACACACACTCACAAAAATGAAACAGAACAAAACAAAAACAGTTTTCATGAGTTAGTGATGTTATTATTTTGATGTGTGTATGTTGGAGTATCGAGGGCATGGTAGGGTGGCAATGGTGGGCAGCAGAGGACATGTGTGGGCCTCACTTTGCTGAAGTTCCCGAGGAGCCAAGAGTCTGTGGGGACTTCGCACGCCAGGCATTCCTTGATGCATCATGGGTAATAACACCTCATTACACTGCAAATGACATTAAACAGACTTTATTACTCCCTGTCATAGATGGAGGAAACTGCAACTCAGAATTGCTAAGCAATTTTCACAAGGTGTACCATTAATAATTAATAGAACTCGAATTTTCTCCTACCTCTGGCATTCAGTAAAGACTTGCTGAATAAATGGTATTTGGGGCTTCAAAGTTCATGCCTTTTTTTTCCCTACAATTGGGGGAGAAAATTATATGTATATATAATTTGTATATGAATAAAATCTTATATATCAACTATTAATATTTATGTGTAAATGTAATATATTATATTTACAATATATTTGATATGTTATATAAAATATGTTTAAATTACATATAAATATAAATATTTACTATTAATATTTATATGTGGATTTAATACATTTATACATAAATTATTTCATACATTTATATACATAAATGTAATTACTATATAATTAATGTTTGGTAAAAAATTTAGTACAGAAGAGATGTACTGGGTTTTTTTGCCAGTAGTGGGCTTTAAACTCCAGACCTTGGGCTCATTTGACTTGCTTGCTCATCTGATGTTATACCACTTTGAGCCACACCCCCAGACCTGCTTTTTGCTGATTATTTGGGAGATAAACTCTCATGAACGTTTCTGTCTGGGCTGGCTTTGAACCAAGATCCCTTAGATCTCAGCCTCCAGAGTAGCTAGCATTAGAGATATGGGTCACTGGCACTTGGAGAGATTATCTCTGAGTATATAATGTGGTATCTATGTATCATATAGATTATATGTGTATATATTATGTATCATACAATTATATTTTACATTCGATAGTATATAAATATATATTTATATTATATAAATATATTTTATATAACATATAATATATTTATATATCATATAATAATATATAGTATATATTTATATATAATACATTGTATAATATATAATTCTTATAATTGCAATGTGTGATTAATATTATATGATTCGTATAATATGTTATATATAATTATTATCCAGATATATATATAATATGGTCTCCATTTAATGCCTGCACTGGGCAAATATGTGATACCCTACTTGAAAAGTTAAACCAAAAATGGGCTGGGAATGTGCTCAAGTAATAAGACCCCTCGCCTAACAAGCTTGAGTCCTTGAGCTCAAGCCCTAGTATTGTGGAAAGAAACAAAAATCCTTAGAGTGGGAACTCTCAGGAAGACTTGGAAACTGGACCCTCTGCTTGGGGTCTGGTCAGTTCCTGGAGAGTTGAGCAGCAGGCAGTGAGTGAGGAAGGGGAGGGCAGAAGGTCCTGGAGCCTGAGAGAGTCCTGCAAGAGAGAGGGGCCATGTGAAGGGGCTTGACTGTCAGCCCTGTGGCACAGGGCCATGCAGGGGGTGTGGCCAGAGGCTGCTCTACCATCTCTCTGAGTCCTAAGAGATCTAAGATATGATGCTTATCCCACTCTGGACTGAGAAACATAAATGCAATTTTGATGCAAAAATCTCTGAACTTGACTTTGGTCCCAGCAATGCTAAATCACAGCACCTGCCTTTTAAGTCCCTTCCAAGGGGAATTCGTCTGCCCTTACCACCTGTTCAAAGGTACCCAGTTGGGGGACCAGATGGCCTTACTAGCTGATTGGGTCAATCTTAGCCATGAGGCCCACAGGCAGCTGGTTGACTGGCTGGCCAGCAACAGATGACCAGGTCTAGGTTAAAGAAGGTGTATTAGGTCAATTGTGTTCTCTGAAGAGAACGCAATCAAGGAGGGAAGCAATTAGCTTCGCCAACGGTACAAATGATAACGTTGAGAAGCCACTGTCCTCCTCTTAGAATGTCTAGAGGATGCATTAGAAGGAATAGCTGAAGCCAGGCACTGAGGCCTCCCACCTGTAATCTAGCTACTCAGGAGGTTGAGATCTGAGGATCATGGTTAGAAGCCAGCCCAGGCAGGAAAGTCGGTGAGATGCTTACCTCCACTAAACATAAAAAAGCCAAAAGTGGAGCTATGGCTCAAGTGGTAGAGCACTAGCCTTGGACAGAAAAGCTCAGGGACAGTACCCAACCCCTGAATTCATGCCCCAGGACCTGAAACAAACAAACAAAAAAGCAGGAGCTGAAGCCAAGTGCTGATGGCTCACACCTGTAATCCTAACTACTCAGGAAGCTGAGATCTGAGGATCATGGTTTGAAGCCAACCTGGGCAGCAAAGTCTGTGA